TGCTGTTTTCTATCCTAATTCAGGATGCATCCTTGTATTATCATATCCAAAATGCTGCCGATGCCACCAACCAGGTGCAGCCCAGGTAACTTACGGCTAGAAGCCATGCTCCACCAGCCTCTTTTCAAAACCAGGAAGCTCCCGGATTTGCAAATCAGCCAAGTGCGGCTTCTAGCTGGAAGTTACACAGGCTTCACCTGGCCAGTGGCATCACCAGCATTTTGCATATGCTAATACTAGGATGCATCCTGAATTAGGATTGAAAACAGCAGCGGTAAGTCGCATTTTTAAGCCATGTGATAAAGTCCTTAGAGGTGGAAGGGACAAAGTAAAAGGTGAGCTATTTAAATGCAGGTTGGGGGATGAAGCCCTGAAGTGCTCTGATGATGTCCTCAGGAAGGGGATGGGGCGCCCAGAGTCTGGCTGCCCCTGAATCGGGTGCAGTTGTGAAGACGGTTCAGACCTAATTCTGAGTTTTGGTCCTGTGACATGTAAACAGGATGCAGCAAGCCCAGAGTTCAGCACATCTTGAATAGGTCCTTTACAGTTTTCACTATAACCTAGAGCAGATTGACACCTCAATGATATGGAAATCATCAGCCAGCACTGAGAAAGAAAAGCCAAAAATGAATGGTATAGCACCAAAGATTTTTAAATGTTGTTTACTTTTATGGTCAAGTTTCTTTATCATTCATCACTGAAATGTGCCACTGCGGACTTGTCTACATGGGTAATTCACACCAAATTCCTTCCAGGCCCACTGCGTCCTGTTTACATGGCACAAGGTCAAAACCCCAGATTGGATCCAGACTGTCTTCACTACATCTGCACCCAATTCAGGGCTTCCTCCAACAACCTGCATTTAAATAGTTCACTATTTGCTGTGGGTTTCTGGTCTTCACAATGACAGCAGCAGCTGCCTTTTCACTTGCATTCCCTACAAGCAGCCCAGGATCATCACTATGAGTGTGAGTTGCTCTGAGGGCAGAACTGAGATCTGACCTCAATAGTGGTGCTGGGTGCCAAAAGGGAGCTGCATGGAAAGGCCATCACCCATCATTCGCTGCAAGTACCAAGAACAAGAGAGAGCAGATGGTTATTCAGATGTTGTTGTTAGCACAACTATATGAATATAGCAATAGCAAGTACATTTCTATACCACTTATCAGTGAACTAGCATTCCCTAAGTGGTTTACAATTCCCTAAGTGGTTTACAATTGCCCTCAACAAGATGGGTACTCATTTTACCGGCCTACAAAAGGAGGGAAGGCTGAATGGACCTTGGAGCCCTCCAGGATCAAATTTATAACATTGCAGTTATAACCACTGCACTATTAGGGCTCCTTTGAATAGAATCATAGAATCATAGAATCATAGAATCATAGAATCATA